GTAGAATATACTGGCAGTTGCTGCCACGTCTGCATTCATTGCGTCACATGGAATGTTGTCTGATTCCGCTGCTTTGCCTCTCTTGATTTGTCTGATGGCCGTACTGATCTCTTCAGTTGTTGCTGTGCCAACATCGATTGGAAGGTCCACAGATGCTGTTATCCTGAATTGGTTGAGTTTGCCATTATTTTGAAGAAAGGCCATGTTAAACTTCTGTGATGTTGTCCGCCCGCTGTCTAGCGCTTCTTCCGTTTCAGTTTCATTTTGGCCACCACCAAGAGGTGATCCGAAGCCATGTCGGCTGCTCTCTTGTTTCTCACGTCCTACATCACCCATTTTATTGATGCAGATGTGACCGGTTTGGTTATTTGTAGTGTGATCCGGTGATACTAATGTAGGTTATGTGTATGTGTTTTTGTGGGAATACTGTGTCACAGATGACCAGTTTGTTGAAGGCACATAGGTTTGCGAATCTCTCACCGTTTTCGTTCCTTTCTCCTAGTCCATGTCGTCCATTGATGTCTTCATATCCAGGGTTGTCCATGTCAACCTTAGCATTTAGGTCTCGCATCCAAATGGCCAAGTCCTTTGTTGGGCGTTTCTCTACTATTGACTGCAGCCTCTGGTAAAATTGTTCTTTAAGGTCTCAATTGCGATCGTTGGTAGGTGCGCGTAGCCTTGGATAACGTTCATTGTAACTACCTGTTTCTTTGTTTCGAAGGATGCTTTGATGATCCTGAATCCCTGAGATTCCCATCCTATGAGTACCTTTTGTAGTTGTTTGGACGACATCACTGCAACTGGTTGTGTATGTGGATTATTTTGTTGTTCATGGCCGGAGTATAAGAGTAGCTCTCCTGAAGTTAGTCCTAGTTATCCAACCTGCGTGTAATGTGTTTCACCTATTACAAGTACTGCCAAGTTGTGTATTTTCATCTCTGCAGCAGCTTGGATGACTCTCCAGTCTCTTACGTTGTACGAACATTCCATGAACCTAAAAGAATGGTTGCTGTGGTTGTCAGAATGGACATCGGCCTCGTGAGTTCCGAGGGAACCCGGTTTTCATCATGAGACGACCTAAATTTCCTGAATGAGGATCTCTCAGGGCAGAGTTAAAATGGTTTGAATCGGTTTTTCTGATTATCGTTTTATTTAGCGATTTAGTTTTCTTTGGAATGTGGTCGGTAACCCCATGCTGCACCCTCCTCGTTTATCTGTGCTTTGGATCGGCAGTAGCCTCATAGGGGCTCCTGCCACTTCTCATGATGAGTTTTACAGTCATGTTAGCGGGATGGGTCAAATCGGCCTGTTCATGCTGGATATTTTGATTGATGCGATCACGGGTTGGAAACAATCACTGCATTTATTGGTGTATACAAATGGTGTGAATTTTTCAGAAGGATATTTGCTATCTGTGTGGCTGTGACATAGGATTGAGCTGCTTTGTTCACGTTGTAGTTTTAACAAGTAAGCAGTATCTGGTTCTCCTGAAAACTAATGTAAAATTACTCATTATAATTGAGGGTGATTTCATCTAATTGTGAATTTAATTTACTTCAGTGTCATCTTGGATATGTTCAGTAGTTGCCATTGGTTTCTTTAAATTTATAATGAAATCAAAATGGAATTCAAAATCTAATATCCGCTACGCATTAATAAATAGAAGATAAGATGATATATCACAAAGGTCAATATATCGAAAACCAACTTGAAACGAACAGTTTACAGACTTTCATATCTGGGTTCCATTCAACAAAACGATAAATCTGTTTCAATCTTTATCATCAAGAGCTTGATAATAATAATCGGAAAAGACAATAGGCGATGAAATATCCAACTTCTGACAAATATTCCATGAAAATGGCTATTCACCTAGGTTTGCTGAGTGCAACATGAAGCTTGAATTATACAATATGCAATAACTTATTTTGTTTCTAAGAAAACTTTCTTCATGAAAATTGAGTTCAAAGGAAACGCTGCTGTTGGAATTTCGAAGAATCGGCTAACAAATCTTTAGTGGAAAATTTTATGCAGCTAAGCTGCTAATTGCTCTTTCTAGTCTCCTCCCCATCATTCGTGGATGTGTCGCAAATAAATTCTCGCTCTGCGTCACATCAGTGTGTATTTATCGATGTACTTTGTACTGTGAAACAGGTTATATTGACACGCACAGTGACTGCTTTCCAAATGCATCTTTCACATTTTCCAGAGTGGCTTTCAAGATGTGAACATAAAAAAATCAGTAGTTTATTATTATTGAGTTTTGTAAGTTCATTATTATTTGAACACCATGTGAACTCTGCTCGTATGGCCTCACCTGATAAGTTCTTGAAAATCATCTCTATAGTCAGATGATTTGGTTCGAAAGGAATGCAAATTAATAAATTATTCACTAGTCATGTGCCAGCAATCTGTCTTTTCAAACGTGAGCTTTGTGCCCAAAAGAAACACATGCAAGTCACCAATCTTTTATTAAACCGTAATTCGATTTTCAATACATCTGCCTACTGTTTTTAATATTACTAGTCATAATTATTTGTTATTATCACGTTTACCTGATAATTCATTCATTACCATTCTCATACTCGTCGAGTGGACAATTTTCATTCCTACGTTTGATATCGTTTCATTATCGCTCTTCAATTCACAAGTAATAAACAACTCGCTTTGAAACGTAATGTAATCTAGTCGTCCTTTTATTTTTCAATAGACTACCTGTGAGACGACAGTAATCGACGGTTAGAGACCTTGAATGACATGGCACAAAATCGTTTGCAGTGGCGCAGATGCATCCTTTCTTTATCTTCTTTCATGAGCTCAGGACCTTTTTTGAATGTATTTCACTGCATTACATTTCTTGAAAAGTTTCTTCTAACCCTAGTCATTTTCATTATCGCTAATATTTCTACTACCTTTACTGCTATTGTCAATTCGATCTGTGTGTGCCAATGTGGCATGGCAACTTGAACTGATGTATGTACGTACGAAGTTGTACTTTATAGCTGACCGACTGACTCCCAATTTTAATTTCTGATACCTACAGTTAAAAGTTTTATAAATATCTGCGCATGAAGGAGAACAAGATGAACGTCATTTGACATTTGCAATTTGCTAGCATTTCATCTGTCCACTGAATGAAAGTTTGATTACTTATAAACAATTTTATTACAATACTAATCCTTTTGAACTAGAAAAGTGCGCTAATGTTCCTATGTATTTTGTATTTCCAGTAAAGTAAAGAGTGAAACTGACCATCTGGTGAACTGAAAGCAAACCATTCATAATGAACGTATTGTTAGTATAATATCAGCGCATTTCGGTCAGCAAACTGTACCTCTATTGAGTATTTTTTTTGTTGTCAGTCAACTGTTCGTTTCTATATATGACAATTTTTTAAAGGAAAAAATGAATCTTAGTGAAGTTCATTCTAAATGTGACTCAGGATAATCAAAAGTAAGTGAATTTATGAATTTTCTATCTTAAAATCTTTTTATAAATCTTATCGGATGCCGTTATGAAGCCTTCCTTCAGAGCATCCTCAATCAGCATATAACCCTTTTTTCGAAGAAAAGTAGATCTCTACCTCTCTTAGGTTATATCTAGTTTTATTTACGAATTCAGATGTATTTTTAGCAGTTAGAATGTAGTAAGAGCTAAGATGATTATTTCCACCATATTCTCTGACTGCGTTCGTCTAAACTGTATCTGCATGGAAGAAAAGACTTAACAGACTAAATCACTCAATATTTTGTGGACAGTTTGCATAAGGTGAATGTCAACAGAGCGTTAAAAATCAACTAATAATAACAAGCATTGATTTTAATTTTGTGTGTAAAAGTCATTAATATCGAATGTTTTCAACTCGGTCTACGTAAACAGAAGGAAGATGTGGTAAGTACATATCACTCATTTATATCGATGACGGTTTGGCATTCGGTTGATTGAATCCCGTGATAAGGTTTTGCGATTTCATTAGTCAACTTTTCTCATCAAATATTTAATCTTAGAGTACGATATCATTCCACTGTACTGTTGATAACTGCCGGCTATCTTCTAAAATACTATTTTCAATTCACCAAAGCCTTTGAACAATGCGTAATTATACACATTAGTCTGAGAACCACATACTCGTACAGAGTTCAAACAATATAATGTGAACTTTGTAAGGTAACACTGTACAAACAGCATTATGTTCCATAATAATATTGCACCATATTGCTAAGTTCCTGCCATGTTGTTACACTCCGGATGTACCTACATAACAGTACAGTATCCAAGTAGTAGTTAGCTGAAACTGCAGGTAAGATAAATTTAAGATACAAACAATAAATACTGAAGTATAGGAGCTCCTCCAACGTTTATATGCACATAAAATTACTGACCTTAGAAATAAGCCGTGTGGGATGTTGCAAACTATCTGTATGGATTTTCTGCTATTATCGTAACCAATAGGTGGCATGATTCAGAATCGACAGCAATGGCGTGGAAGCACTCATAATACACCATCTGTACAACATGACTAATCTTCCTTTACTGTTGTTAATTTGGCACTGATAATTCAGACTTGTGGTGTAGCAACCTGAGATGACGCACATATATGCAAAACTCTTGGTTTTTTTTAGTAGATGTTTGTCCAGTAATCTTGTCTATATCAATGACAATTTAAAGAATAGTAGTACTGTTCTATTCATGTTAAATATGTTTGACTAAGCTTAGAGAGAGCAGAACACGATTTGCAATTGATAACTGGTGTGAATATATTTGTTACAGATCACCTGTAAGTCCTGAACACACTATCTTATTCCCATCGAATTTTTACGTCATACTGATTATCTAGAAAAAATATCATTTATTACCACCGGCGACTCACTTGACGTATAACAATCAGTTAATAGGTTCAAATCTCACTTCAATTAATCGGATTTGAGCAATTGACTAATATCTCAAGATCCCGTATAAAACGTGACTTACAATCATATATCTATATCTATATATATATATCACTGAATTGTATCTCCAAGAAATTTATTGAGTTGGGTGCATGCCCAGAAAATTTCCAATAAAAACACTAACAAAACCAAAAAATGAAATGCATATTATTTTTTCAGATATATATTAAGTATAAATGAACCTAGGTATTTTAAAATAAGTGCTGTTCTGGACACAAATACACGCTGAATCAATGTAACACTACTATTAAGTTCGGAAACCATATAGCATGAATGAGAAAAAGGATGAGATGAAAACCATGTCAAAGAGAAAAGAATAAAGGACAGCTAAGTAAATTTCTAGGTATCAAACAAAATGAAAAATCAAGTAAACAAGTTCGAAGCAATGAAGTTAACAATCTCTTCCATTATACTACAGAAAAATAAAAGAGATGATTACACATAAAAAACATATAGATGTAGGCTGTGTTAAGAATAACTATAAGCACATTATTTGATGGAGGAAACAAATTCATGATTTATAATCATAGCTTATTTAGATGTATAATTAGCTGCAAACTCTTTGCCTTTCTCAATATTTGCTTTTAGCTCTGGGATGACCTTTTTCAGTAAGTCAATTTCATATTCATTCAATTTTCCAATACCCATATTCTTTTCAACACCTTCAGCCTAGAATTGGAACGAAAGAAAATTAGAGATAATTAATATCGAAAATTAACTGTAGAGAAAATGAATTAGATTTCAAAGTAAAACAAATTGAATAATTGAGTACAAACGGCATTTCACAAATTTTGAAGACAACTGTCATCAGTTCGGAAAGAAACGTACTCACAGCTAAAAATAACACGATGTGTATTCAGTGACAATTCTATTTGACAGCTTACACATTTGATTATCGATGATTAAATTACTACAAATCTGATTGACACCTCAGGGTAGCAACTAAACCATAATAAGTCTACTTAAGTAGCCATGTTTTAGATCGATAAGTCGTCAGAGAATATACTTGTCCAATAGACAAACAAATATTTGTCCTGTCACAAGTGACACAAACTACCAAAAGTAAAAAGAGTCAAGTTAATTCATGCAAACACTTTGTTAAAAATCCGCCTGGAGAATCTCTCAAGCTTCAGCCGATCCAAAGCACAGATAAACGAGGGTGCAGCATGGGGTAACCACCACATTCCAAAGAAAACTAAATCGCTAAATAAAACGATAATCAGAAAAACCGACTCAAACCATTTTAACTCTGCCCTGAGAGATCTTCATTCAGGAAAGTTAGGTCGTCTCATGATGAAAACCGGGTTCCCTCGGAACTCACGAGGCCGATGTCCATTCTGACAACTACAGTAACCATTCTTTTAGGTTCATGGAATGTTCGTACAACGTAAGAGACTGGAGAGTCATCCAAGCTGCTGCAGAGATGAAAATACACAACTTGGCGGTACTTGTAATAGGTGAAACACATTACACGCAGGTTGGATAACTAGGACTAACTTCAGGAGAGCTACTCTTATACTCCGGCCATGAACAACAAAATAATCCACATACACAACCAGTTGCAGTGATGTCGTCCAAACAACTACAAAAGGTACTCATAGGATGGGAATCTCAGGGATTCAGGATCATCAAAGCATCCGTCGAAACAAAGAAACAGGTAGTTACAATGAACGTTATCCAAGGCTACGCGCACCTACCAACGATCGCAATTGAGACCTTAAAGAACAATTTTACCAGAGGCTGCAGTCAATAGTAGAGAAACGCCCAACAAAGGACTTGGCCATTTGGATGCGAGACCTAAATGCCAAGGTTGACTTGGACAACCCTGGATATGAAGACATCACTGGAAGACATGTTAGCAACTCTAACAATTTTTTCTTGCCTGTAAATTGGCATGGCTGATGTAACTTGTTGTTAGTTTAGCAAAATAAACATGCAAACATTCCAGGTGAGGCAATGAAAGCAGACGTGACAGCCACTGGCAGTATATTCTACATTCTCTTTAACAAGATTTGGGATGAAGTACCAACAGACTGCAAATAAGTATGCCTCAACAAAATACGGAAGAATGGCGATCTCAACAAATGTGGGAACTACAGAGACATCACTCTTTTCTCAGTACCCGGCAAAGTCTTCAACATGGTATTGTTAAACAGAATGAAGGATTCGGTAGACATCCAACTTCGAGATCAGCAGGCTGGATTGCGTAGAGACCAGTCTTATATCGACCAAATCGCGACATCACGATCAGTGTGGAACAATCCTTTGGGCTGAACTCACTACTTCACATCAACTTCATTCACTACTAGATGTGAAGACACGGACTAATGCAAGGGCAGCACCTCTACAACTGGAAAACATTAGAGACCCTTAACAACTATCAACCAACACCAAAGTCAGAATTTTCAATATAAATGTCAAGACAGGTTTACTGTATGGGGTGGAAACAAAGCCATCATCCAAAAGAAACAGGTGTTTATTAACAGTTGTCTACGGGAAATACTTCGGATTCGCTGGTCAGACACTATCAGCAATAACCTACTGTAGGAGAGAACAAACCACATTCCAGCGGAGGAAATTTGGAAGAGCTGGAAGTAGAGAGGACACACATTGAGGAAAGCATTCAATTGTGTCACAAGGCAAGCCCTCACTCGAAACCCTCAAGGCCAAATGAAGAGGAAGACCGAAGAGGACATTACGTTGAGAAATGGAGATAGACATGAAAAGAATAAACAAAAATTGGACAGAACTGGGAAAGTTTCAATACAGAGTAGGTTAGAGAATGCTGGCCTATCCGCCATCGGGGGTAACAGACGTCAGTAAGAAAAGGACTTTGTCAACTATCAAATACATTAGGGTTGGTGCGAATATCCCGCTGAACTAACTAGTTTTCTAATGTCCAAATAGGCAATGGCGAAAACTACTTTTCGAGGCGTATTTTAGGCTAAACTACGTTGTTATTTAGTGTCAACAAGGAAATACGAAGGGTAGCACACTCATTGTTTTTAGTGGAGGATAGATATTCAACATGCATCGTGGAATCGGAATTTATTTTAAATCTGTGACCTGATACGCGGCATCGATTCTAATTAGTTTTTGTCCAAATATTTTCTTTTAACACCAATAGAGTACAAAAATAGATACGCATTGCCTTGTAAAAAGCGAGAGTATTGTTTGATGATTCTGTAAGAAACTTGGTTAATATTACGGTTAGATTACTTACATAAGACCATTACACACACTGTTGCGAATTACAATAAAAGCATGACAGCGTTAACTTACACCAAGTGCAAGGGGAGTTGAAAAGAATTCACATTCACTAACATCTGATTGTACAAAAGCACACTCCACCACACCAGCTCGACCACTCATGGCTTCTAAAAGTGAAGCAGCAAATCTTACTCCAGCATAAGCCATTGATAAAGTAGCAGACCCCTAAAAAACCAAAAACGTATATAATACTGTAGTTATGCAATCACCTTATACACTTTAGCGAAGCATTCGCCACTACAACGGTGAGCAAATGCCAACGATGTAACGTTTCTCAGTTTTTATTAATGATCAGTCATATTTGAGCATTTATGACTTCATTATCAAGTGATGTACGGTTGTAGAATGGTGGGTAGTTCCTTACTCCATGAATGGATAGCAGTCTACTAAAATTATCGATAAGATTTTTAAAATAAAACATGGAAATACATGGGACATAGAGACCAAATGCAATTAGGTCAGGTCACATTATATTGTATACTACCACTGTTAGTGAATGGATGGTTGTGAACTTCATGGTTTCCAAAGCAGTACGGATTAGCACGTGTTAATTTAAATGGATGGTGCTACCTTAGTCTTTAATCAGTATAATCCTACATCAATTGCTATCATACATATTTTTATTTTATTCAATGTCGCTAAAAAATATTTTTAAGTAACTCACACTATTTTGTTTGTTTTCATTGTCTTAGGCTTTTCGCTAGATCATGTTGACTGCATCCTACTTTTAACGGCCAAATTCTTACAATTATTTGAAATGAGGAATGCTGCTAATTTATCTTAACGAAAAAGCATATAATTTGTCGGCATCTAAAATTATGGGAGATTTTTATTGCCAACCAGTTATCTACTGGTGACAGAGACCAATTTTAATACAAGCATAAAAGGTAGCTAAGTGCACAAAACTATTGAAGCACTAGTTTGTCTAGATGAAATGGGAGTAATACATATATTTCAGTAAGCGCATACGAAATGGTTTTTAAATTTTTAACTCATAGCCAAACCGGACTTTACATACTTGAACTACGCATGAAGTATATTAGTAAATCAACAAGAAAAAAATAAATAAACATAAGTTCAAAAACATAAAGCCTTGAAAATCTTACCGCTCCAGCCTTTGCCTCAACAACTTCAGTGCCGGCCTCTTGAATACGTTTTGTGATTTTTTCTCTTTCATCCTATAATTTGGAAAATTTGATGAAGTAAATGGGACGATTAATCTATTAATGTTTATAAAACTATTACTTGAACTGATCAGCGACAGAACATTCACAAGCGAGAATAATTGTGAGGCTAATAATTCACATACTTCGCTTTTGGTTTTTTACACAATAGTAATACAGCTGTTTACAAAGTGCCGAATGCGCTACAAAAACATTAAAATGTAAAAGAGACTCGACAGCTGAAAATGTACATTTTACCCTTTATCCAAATACTCTTATGATGAAAAAATGTCAGAAGCTATTTAAAACAAGCCTAATTTATAATACGACAACTAGTCTTAGAAAGATCAATCAGTAAGCTACAACACAGAACTCCGTACGTACATATATCAGTTCAAGTTGTCATAAAAGATTAGCAAACGGAGATCGAATTGACTATTAAAATCCCGAAGTAGTAAAGAAAGTTAAAATACTGTAAAGTGTACAAGAGAAGTACATTAACCTTACACAGGCTCTCCAGTCGAACCCCACTGGTCGAGTAAGAGCTCATGGCGATCTGTCATCGGAACTGATTACTTCGAGAGGTGTTTATCAGGGTTTCCCACTCCCCCCATTCTTGTTTGACTTTATCATAGACTTGCTCCTAGAATTAACATTATCTTAGTCTGACTTTTCAGAGGTGGACTTTCTACCAGGAAACTCGTTTGTTGACTTAAAATATGCCGATAACATAGTTCTACTTGGTGAAGACGCTGACGAAATGCAGAGTCTTCTGACCACCTTAATTAACAATGCAATCATGTTCGGGATGCGATTCCCTCCCTCGAAATGCAAACTGTTGCTTCAGGATTGGTTTGCAGCGGCAGCTGGAGTAGTGATAGGGAGTGAAGCAGTTGAGCGTGTCGACCGCTTCACTTACCTCGGTAGTGTCTCATCAGCGTTGATGGCCTGGTGACTGACGAAATCTCGGCACGGGAACAGAGGGCTCGATTGGCTTTTGTCAACTTGTGTCATTTATGGCGTAGGTGAGATATCCTTCTGCTAACCACAGGATGAGTCTACTGTTCGGCAATTCGCTCCATCCTACTCTACAGGCGTGAAACATGGCCAGTAAGAATAGGAGATATTCATAGGTTACTGGTTTTCGATCATAGCTGTCTCCGAAGCATTGCTCGTGTATCATCGGACAACCGAGTAAACAATGCAATTGTTAGGGAACGGTACTAGGTGAAACTTCATCGGTTGAAGTGGTTGGAACATGTGTTGCGTATGCCAAACCTGACTGCCTCTGCGAGCTATATTTTTCGATGTAGGAATAGGTTAGGAGAAAGCTAGGGGTGACCAAGCCAAAACATGGTACGAATCTATGAAGTCACTGACAAGTGGACTGAGTCATGTCGGTAGGTGTTGACTACCTGGTTGGGGCACGCGAGACGATAATAATCGATGGTTAAAGATTTTGAATGACATGGCTCAAAACCGTTTGCAATGGCGCAGGTGCGTCTTCTCTTTGTGTTTTCTCAAACTCTATTCTGAATTCTTCATCACTTTTATCGTTTCCTGTTAAATTTCATTTCACTAGATTCTACTTCTTGAATAATATCCTTGAACCCTAATCTCGCCGATTACTGAGAGTACTTCTGCTGCCTGTACTAATACGGGATCTGAAGTGACAATTGCGTCTCAGTGCTAATGTGGTATGGCAACTTGAACTGATGTACCTAGGCACAAATTTCTGCGTTGTAACTGACAAACAGACTGAAGAAGAATAGCCATTTCAACTGGATTCACAGTAGTTGCCTTCAATTTTTTTCATGTGGTTAACCGTGAACTAGAGTGACTTTCATCTAAACGTCCAGCGAATGAAGTTTTGGAGACTAGGAGATTATCTTAATTTTGAACCTGTGCGAGTTATATGTTTTGCACTAGATGTTGACCCCCAAACTGTCGAGAGATTAACGGTTTGTAAATCTGATACGGAGTCAAGGATAATTGTGTTGAGGCTATGACTTGTTTGTCTCACAAAATATATACTGAGATCGTGGAGTCGGCCATTTGAATACAGCTAAAAACATAAGTTATTAGAAATTCTAATGAGAAGAATAGGAATTATGTTGCTTCCTCATTCATTTAGACTGTCATTTCTATTTGTACCACCCATTACTTTTTCCATTACTCTTATTATTCACACATAAAACTCGTTTCTCATATTATGTATCCCATGATATCTTGGTTGTGTGAAGATATAGTTTAAGATAAAATTACACAAAAACGTGTACTATACCTGGGGAAATGATACATGGGGTCTACATTGGGATATTACAGGAAGAATCGTAATACCTGAGTGACCACCAATGACAGGACAAGAAACCTTTCGCACGGCAAGATCCTAAAGAAAATACTTTAAAAAGCCCAAAAACTAATCTACTTTTGCCTGAGCAATAAATGTATTTGATCGAACTACATCAAGGGTCGTAACCCCAAACAGGCGCTTTGGATCATAAACGTTGTGGCGTTTTAAAATCTCCGCTGCAATCGGCACAGTGCTATTGACAGGATTTGTGATTATGCATATCATTGCTTTCGGGCAATTTTTAGCGCACGAATCAATAAGTTCTGCAACAATCGATGCGTTTGTATTGAACAAATCATCACGTGTCATCCCTTAAAGAAGAAAATAAGGATATGAAAGAAATTAATGGTGCGAAAATCTGAATACAATATCACCATACATTTTGTTGTCGATAACTGAAACTCTAACCCTAACAAAATCAGTTATATCTCAAAAAGTAAACATGTCACACCTATGCAAAGCCTTGAATAAAAATTAAAACTACGAAATTCATGAACTGTTCACAGCTGCAATTTATTTGAATGTCATTACCTTTACTATCATTGGATTTGAATTGACAATTATATCTCTGTGTTGATATGGTATGGCAACATAAACTCATGTACTTACGTACGAAGTTCTACGTTGCATCTGACTGACTGACAGGGTCAGTTAAAAGCAAAATAGGGATAAAGTTATTAGCAGGATACCATTCTTGTCAAATAAGCATATATTTATCACTAGGTCAGTCAGTTATACATCAGTGCAAGTTGTCTCTGTTATCGCTACGACTAACTCTACTCATACTCCCTTTTCTCACTGCACCGCTAATGCAGACGAAGCGAGATCACGAAACGTCGTTCCTGGTCTCTTGAAACCCCGTTCTAAACTACATGTTGGAGCTTTTAATGTACGGACATTGTGTCAAATAGGGCAACAGGCATCATTAGCTAGGACTTTAGAATCTCGTGCCATCGATGTATGCTGCGTCTCGGAAACGCGCATACAGGATCCTAGTAAAGTCATTAACCTGATTCCACCTTGTCAAAGCGAAGAAGCAGCCCGATTCACTCTTCGTGTATCCGGTAGCCCTGATGCTGCTTCCAGGGGTCTTGCTGGCGTAGGCATAGCGTTAAGTCCTAGGGCAGCATTATCTCTCCTAGACTGGATCCCAGTAGATAGTCGTTTGTGCGCTGTCCGACTAAACGGGACAGTAAGGACTCGGAAAGATAAGGACACTCGCCGTTGCCTCTTCGTCATATCTGCCTATGCCCCCACTGAATGCAGTTCAGACGAGGTTAAGGATGAGTTTTACAGAAAGCTTTCGGACCTCCTCCAAAAAGCTAGGCGCTCTGATATAGTAATAATGGCTGGTGACTTTAATGCTCAAGTAGGTAGACTAGGTGAAAAGGAAAGACATCTTGGTGGATGTTATGGTGTAGCGACTGAGAGAACAGACAATGGCGACCGTCTGTTGCAACTATGCTCAGATAACCGCCTATTCTTAGCGAACACTAACTTTAGGCATAAGGAAAAGCATCTGTTGACCTGGCGACCTCCAAAGTCGTCTCAACGTTGGACTCAACTAGATCACATCGCCATCAGCCACCGATGGAGGGGTTCGATAGAGGACTGTCGATCGTTCTGGGGCACATGTTTGGATTCAGATCATGCTCTAGTGCGAGCTCGTATCTGTTTAAGGCTTACTGAACGTAGGAAAGACACCGTAAGGAAGCCTCTTAGGGTTTTACTTAATGATAATCAAACCAAGAAAATATTTCAGGAGCAACTAGAAAGAGAGTTAAGCAACCATGCAAGCGATTCCCATCCAGAAGCAGGTTGGTATGATATCAAAAAGGCTGTGGAAACAGCAGTGATATATGCTAGTAAGGTTGACCATAAGGCTAGAATGAAGCCGTGGATCTCAGTAGCATCCACCGATCTGATGGATGCCCGAAAACTCATCCCACCTGGCTCTGAACATGATGAAGAACGAAGTCAACTTAGGCGCAGACTCATAAAAAGCCTACGTAACGATCGCGAACAGTGGTGGGTGGCGAAAGCAAAAGCGATGGAAAAGGCAGCGGCGATCGGCAACAGTAGACAACTTTTCCGACTTATCAAGGAAACTGGTATTAGGAATCCTAGTGAAAGTGAGACTACCTCAGAAAATGACGGGACTATTATTTATTCTCAATCCAGGAGACTGGATCGATGGGCAGAACACTTTAGGGATCAGTCCAACTGGCCTCGAGCCACTCTTCAGTTACCCACGATTTCCAGTCATCCTGAATAGCAAATCGACGTAAGTCCCCCTAGTCTTAATGAAGTTGAAAAAGCGTTAGGAACTCCGAAACGAGAACGAGCTGCGGGTCCTGATAGACAGACCCTTGAGATATTTAAGGATGGTGGTCCAGTTTTAGCAACTAGGTTGACTGAGATCTTAGGTAGAATCTAGGAGCTGGACGCAATCCCATTCGACTGGTCTCAATCACTGATTGTCCCAATCTATAAGAAAGGACAAAAGTCTTCTTGTGACAATCACAGGGGAATAAGTCTAACTAATATAGTTTCTAAAATATTGTCCTCAGTAATACTTCGACGCTTAACGAAAGCTCGTGAAGAGCAGACTCGAGAAAACCAGGCTGGTTTTCGACCTGGACGTGGTTGTATAGACCACATCTTCACACTACGACAGGTCCTGGAACATAGACACACATTTAGGCGTCCTACAATAGTTGTTTTCCTGGACCTAAAAGCGGCATTTGACTCAGTGGATCGTGAGGTTCTGTGGCAGTGTTTGTCATTGAAAGGTGTACCAGAGAAGTATATTAACCTTATACAAGCTCTCTACTCGAACACCACTGGTCGAGTAAGTGCTTATGGCGAATTGTCATCGGAATTCTCTACTTCAAGTGGTGTCCATCAGGGATGTCCACTTTCTCCATTCTTGTTTAATTTTATCATAGACATGCTCCTAGAAATAACCCTGTCCTCGTCTGAATTTTCTGGAGTAGACCTTCTACCAGGTGGCTCGCTTATTGACTTAGAATATGCCGATGACATGGTCCTACTTGGTGAAGATGCTGACAAATTGCAGTATCTTCTGACTACCCTAAGCAACAATGCAAGCATGTTCGGGATGCGGTTTTCCCCCTCGAAATGCAAAATGTTGCTTCAAGATTGGGTTGCATTGGCACCTGAACTAGTGATAGGGAGTGAAGTAGTCGAGCGAGTAGACCGCTTCACTTATCTTGGGAGTCTCATCAGTGCCGATGGCCTGGTGACTGACGAAATCTCAGCTCGGATACAGAAGGCTCGATCGGCTTTTGCCAACCTGCGTCACTTATGGCGTAGGCGTGATATCCGTTCTCTAATCAAAGGGCGGGTGTACTGTGCAGCAGTTCGCTCCGTTTCCTATATGGCTGTGAAACATGGCCGTTAAGAGTAGAAGATGTTCGTAGGTTACTAGTATTCGATCATAGATGTTTAAGAAGCATTGCTCGTATATCGTGGGACAGCCGAGTACGCAATGTTGTCGTTAGGAAACGAGTACTAGGTAAGGATGGCAGATCAATTGATGAAGTGGTGAAACTTCATCAGTTGAGGTGGTTGGGACATGTCTTGCGTATGCCGAACCACCGACTGCCCCGACGAGCTATGTTTTGTGGTGTAGGAGTAGGTTGGAAGAAAGTTAGGGGCAGCCAGACCAAAACATGGCACAAATCCATGAAGTCATTGACTAGTGGACTGAGTCATGTTGGTAGATATAGACTACCTGGTTGGGGTCCGCGAGACGAAAGTCATCAATGGTTAGAGACCTTGAACGACATGGCTCAAAATCGTTTGCAATGGCGCAGGTGCATCCACACTTTGAGCTCTCTGAAATCCTAATCTTCTGGATTAGCCAGCACCTCTAGCTTTGTCTTTCTAACCTTATCTCACTGAATTATATTTTTTGAATAATATCTTCGAACCCTAGTCTTCTTTATTAACATTGATACCTCTACTATCTTTATCACTATGGGATTTGATTTGACATTTGCTTACTTACTTACTTACTTACGCCTGTTACCCCCAATCGAGCATAGGCCGCCCACCAGTTTTCTCCAACCAACTCTGTCCTGGGCTTCCCTCTCCAGTTCTGTCCAATGTTTGTTCATTCCTCTCATACCTTTCTCTATTTCTCGGCGTAGTGTGTTCCTTGGCCTTCCTCTTTTCCTTTTGCCTTGAGGGTTCCATGTGAGGGCTTGTCTAGTGATGCAGTTGGGTGCTTTTCGTAGTGTATGTCCTATCCACTTCCATCGCTTCTTCCTGATTTCCTCCTCCACTGGAATCTGGTTTGTTTTCTCCCACAGTTCGTTGTTGCTGATGGTATCTGGCCAACGAATACGAAGTATTTTGCGTAGACAACTGTTAATAAACACTTGTATCGTCTGGATGATGGCTTTGGTAGTTCTCCATGTTTCCGCTCCATACAGTAGAACTGTCTTCACATTTGTATTGAAAATCCTGATTTTGGTGTTGATTGATATCTGTTTGGAGTTCCAGATATTTTTCAACTGTAGAAATGCAGCCCTCGCTTTGCCAATCCGCGCCCTCACATCTGCGTCCGATCCACCTTTCTCGTCGATGATGCTGCCAAGATATGTGAAGATGTTAACGTCCTCCAAGGTATCTCCATCAAGCGTGATTCGGTTGGTGCATGTTGTGTTGCATCGGAGAATTTTGCTTTTTCCTTTATGTATGTTGAGACCTACTGCTGCAGAGGCTGCTGCTACACTGGTCGTCTTCTCTTGCATTTGTTGTTGAGTGTGCGATAGAAGAGCCAGGTCATCTGCGAAGTCCAGATCGTCCAGCTGCGTCCTAACTGTCCAGTTGATACCGTGCTTCCCTCCAGATGTTGACGTCTTCATAATCCAGTCGATCACCAGGAGAAAGAGAAAGGGTGAGAGTAAGCAACCTTGCCTGACACCGGTCTTCACCTCGAAAGAGTCTGTCAGCTGACCTCCGTGCACGATTTTGCAGTTGAATCCATCATAAGAATTCCGTATGATGTTGACTATTTTCTCAGGCACACCGTAGTGTCGTAGAAGCCTCCACAGTGTTTTTCTATCCACGCTATCGAATGCTTTCTCGTAGTCGATCAAGTTGATGTAGAGTGGTGAGTTCCATTCAATTGATTGTTCCACAATGACATTTGCGTCTCTGTGCTAATAATGTGGTATGGCAACACGAACTTATGTACATACGTACGAAGTTCTACGTTGCAACTGACTGACTGACCGACTTTGTCTTAAGCAATGGAGTTGCACTACCATGGAGTAACAAAAGACCGGCAGATCCCTGTCTTGCAAAGCCTTTTGTCATGCCAAGATACCATTTTATTCACTGACGAACCATTCCTTTTTTGAACTAATGCCAGAGTCGGCAAATAAATTATAATATGGAGCTTGCTGAGACGAAATTCGTAGGACGTGTCTAAGCCACTGAATTTTCATGAAGATACCAATCAAACTGTCGTCATTTTGACCTGACACGTCGATAAGATTCTATCGCCAACGAATGTCATCAAACCTCCGGGGACAATGATGGTCGAACACAGTTGCTCAACGCCCCTAACTCGGAAGCTAGGTTTTACGAGCGTGGAGAACTGCACTTACTGATACGTTGTAGATCTGACGTTCTACAGCCAGACTAACATAACAAAGGCCCGAAGGTCGACCCGTATTGGCACAAACTGCTTTGATTTTTATCGCGCTACCACCAGCTTCGACACAACTATCCAGATACACCAACTTCTTAGTAGATAACACTAACAACTGATATTAACTTTTATTTTCGTAAATAAGGTGTAGTTTTAATGTGTATTGAGAACCATATGATGAACTGATCACTCAAAACCCCAACTTTATATGTATGACCTGGATATATCAGTAATTCTCGACATTTCGCCACAACATTTCAAGATAAGCTATCAATGGTTAATTTTAGTATGTTAGTAATTCGTTACATAAACTGATCCAGTGCTGGTTTAGCATAGGATATTTACACAAGAGGCTGTCGTTAGAAAACCTAGTAACTTTAAATTGCTAGTGATACTTCTAGTCTCTGAATGTCGTGGAAAATCCAGTGATATAAAAACAGCAATATCCTCTACAACTGAATGTGTGAAGTACGCCGTTACATGTTTACTCAAAATGTGAGCAACCCACAATCACAAACACCTTATAATTTTATTGCCATGAAAATTGAACGTACCAGACCCAATACGTTTAGATACACCTTACCAAACCACGACATGGTAAAACTTACGGATAATCACTAGAGATTAGTTATCTGCAAATCTAAAACCATTAGAATTGCACTCTGTAAACTGGTGGAATTTTTTAGTTGAAATCTTCCGGGTGGCAGTTATTAGCACAACTATACTATTAGCCACGATAATAAAGTTTAGAAGCCCTATTGTGGCATAAGAGCTAAGAGGAAAGTGTTACGACATTGGGGACATACGTGGTTCCACCACCTTTGTTATAATTTCAAAAAGATAAACAAATTTGTCCAATAAGAACTCGAAAAACCCCACCCAAAATTCAGTTTAGGAAGAAAAACCACTCAGCTTACCAGGCTTACGAGGCATTCCCGCGGGAATTATAACAACACTTGCTCCTGATAGACATTCTGCAAGTTCGCCGGGTCCAATATGTGCAGTTACATGAGGTTGGGTTTCAATATGACTGAGGTCAGCAGCAACACCTTTTACGTGAGCAATATCATACAATGCAAGCTGAGAAATTAAAGGTGATTGTTTCAAGAGCAGTGACATCGGCTGACCTATCCCACCACTAGCACCTAATACTGCAACTTTTGGAGAATGCTGTAAGAAAAAGTATGTTATTAAAAGGTAATAAAATTACCTTTGAAGAGGTCAAGAAGCTCCTACAACTGATCCCGAATCTGAATGCATTGACACCTTTTGAGAACATCTCTAAGAAATGCGCCTAATACAGCGGACAGGGCTCTACCGATAAGTCAAACAAACAGAACTTGTCAAGGACAACAGATACAGAAGCATGTGTAACGCTACTGACTTTTGGTTTATAATTCCAGATTTTATTAATCTTATGTTGATGTCATCGGTCACCCTCATTATTAGGAATAAGTGCATTCTCAATGTTTATTCAGTCGTTAGCTAATATTTTTATCCTCTTTTCACATTTACAAGCACTTTACAGTCCTTATAATATAACGTAACTTCAGGCTGGACAAGAAGCAGTCAAATGATGGGTATTATGCACATGTGAATTGCAGCCATTGAGCTCTACTAACGTAAGTAAAACTAACACAAAGATCAAGTTGGTGGTTGTTTTTATATAGTGTCAATTACATTTATAATTTTTTACCGTAAATCACTAGACTGCTAAAGGTGAACGTCTTGTTGTTAGGTGGTGACTCCATATTTCTTACTTACATACAGCGATGCTTGTCTACCCCCCACTCAACTCCAAGTGAGCCGGACAAGTATTTCATAGCCTTTCTTCTTTCAAATGGTTTCGTCTCAAGGGATATGACTGTTGGGATCAGCGATTGTCACGTTACGACGTAGTGTATTTCAAGTGGTTCAAATGACTACAGACGTAATTTAATCTTTTGCTGAACTCGTTTTCATGTCTATTACGAATGGATCACCTGTGCCTCTATTTAGGGGCCTCGCTGATCGTATGGAGCAAGAATAATGGAACATAATACATGAATCAGTCAAAACTACTGGCCAGTGAGATGCAGAATAGCTGTGAATGCAGAAAAATTTGAAATAAACAGTGTAATTATGGGTGGTCCAGGGGCCATGATAATAAAGTTAAGAGTTAGTAGATAACCTGTTCAAATAACACAGGTTTTTAAAAATCAGTTATTCACTTCATTTTCTTAAGCAAACATTACATTCCCTAGTTTCTAATGTTAAATAATGAACTGTCTGTGCGTTTAAATGGTTGAACCTCACCCTTCACTAGCTCTCTGTGTCGTGTAATAGACAGTACAGTCACAACCCTGAAGCTTCGCATTTCGCAACCTGACGAGCGAATATATAGATCTTACTTTAGAATGAGGAAATAGCAGATCAATTTAAATGTTTCGAATGATTGTAGACATCTTCGCTTGAAGGGTTAAAGTGTCCCTGGCAGTGGATCACCAATGCTTCCAGATAGAGACCTAAGTATGTCAAATAAGTGAAATCGAATAACCAATAATTTATGACGGAACACTGTCCACAACCCTTGAGGTGTCGAGTTTCATTGTGAGGGACTCCTGAAAAGTTACATTGGTTGGCTTCACTCGTGTCACGACTACTCATGAGGACTAGTGGGTGTGCCTACTGTGCTGCACCTATGGTTTCCGGGAATCGCTCCTAAGGCTGGCGTACAGGTTTCTTGGAATGCTATGTCACTGCAAGATTGATTTTGAGTCAATGCCATGATGAATAAATATCCAGTTTTTTAAGGTGTTCTTCGTTGAGCATAAAATGAGATTTTAAGGAGACATTAGCTGTTACAGTCCCAAGAACTGATTTATTCTTCCTGTTTTTAATAGGTTCAAAAGTATCCTTATCCTTCTGAGGTAAAGCACGCAAAACCGTATATTAATAAGCTAGATGGCATCGGATTAACAATGTTATGTATAAAGGAGATAGTCCTACTGCTAAACTCTCCAAACGTTCGCATCAGTGTTATCAGGGCAATATTTGCTCTAATGTTATTTTGCCTCAGTTGGTGTAAGACATTAAATTTATAGAGTACCATAACCCCTAAGTCTTGTTCAGTCCAAGATACCTCTAGCGATGTAAAGATCTAGGTTGTATGTGCGATAAAAACCGTGTCTCCTGAGCACGTCCAATGATAACGTACTAACAATGATGCCAATGAAAGTCTAGCAGAACTACAAGGTTGAAATGTAGTCTCAGAAGAGTAACTAGTTCTGTAGTTAGGTGTAGGGTCTCAAAAACCTTTTCATTTTCCATTTTATCGCCTAGGTGAGAAAGAGTTATTGGCCTCCTACGCTAAGGCGAAAGGACTCGAAAGGGGATTCGAGCAGGAAGTACGCTGTATAACCAAGATTCAGAATCATTTAGTAGAAACCTCAACCGTTGGACTGAGCCACGTGGGCAGGTACATACTACCTAGTTGAGGTGAGTGTAATTCTAATGACCAGAAGTTAGGAAGTTTGGTTAACACGGCACAAAGCCGGTTGTAATCCTGTAGACACACTCAATGTTTGTCTTAGTACGCTGGCTTTTTGTACTCCAAAAGTTTATTTTGCCTTCATAATAACATTCCCCGTTACATTCTACACCTGAACCTGTACAACTGCTTCTTCTATTATTCTGATATTTTAGTCGACCATTTTGTCGTTCTGTGCTAACATGGTGTGGCGGATTTGATGGATACATATATGTGCAGGACTGTGAGTTGACTAAGGCTTCTTACAGATAACCATCCGTAAAAATTAGTCGGGCGACTGAAATGCTCCTTGGGTCCGTGCTCCATAATTATTCATGCAAATTCAGGAACGATTACTAAAGTCAACAGGGAATGAAACTTAAGAACAATCTACGTTACTATATACTTCAACAATAGTAACAGTAACGGTTATTTCTAATAAAACAGTCGTTTCATGTAAGGTTTGTGAAACTTGAGGGATTTATAAGTCATCAGTATACAAACTACTCATTTCTCAACAACAAAGCTGTCATTAAGTACCTATCAAGTCACAAGAACAAAAGTAGTGGCTGGACATCACCGTAAAGACTGGAAATCAGTCACTAAGAGTAAGTTGATCGGAACGAATTTCAATATATGAAAAATGATTTGAGTGAATCTAGTTAGATTGAGGTACTTGAAAATTTACCCACAGTGTTTAATTCCATCAGCGGACAAGAAGGATTATATTAATCTATGCGACTTTTACACGTGTTTTATGGGATGGTAGCATTATATGTGGTTTACCAGTACTACCTGACATTAAAATCTAAGAATATGATAGCTATTAACGCGCTAAATCATATTACCAGAACCATAAAACTGATTAGATATGGGTGCGTAACCTATGAAGTCTAGCGTCGTCCATTTTATTTTCCATCTTCATCTCGCGCAAACTAGTGGACAGTGTTTTCCGGTTGTTAAGAACTCTTGAATAGGGATTTCTCGAATCTTGTTGTGCTATTGCTGATTGCTGCCTCCTTGATCCTTTTCCAATTGTTCTGCATGGTTGTTTAATCTCCATTCAGTAGATCGTGCAAGGCCTGGAACCTGTTGTTGAGGGCTATCCTGAGTTGGTTGAGTTTGCCAGTATCCCGAAGAAAGGCCGTGTTAAACTTCTGTGATGTTGTCCGCGCGTTTTCCAATGCTTCTTGAGTTCCATTTTCATTCTGGCCAATACCAAGAGGTGATCCGAAGCCATGTCGGCTGCTCTCTTGTTTCTCACGTCCTATATCACCCATTTTATTGATGCAGATGTGACCGGTTTGGCTCTTTGTAATGTGATCCGGTGATACTAATGTAGGTTATGCGTATGTGTTTTTGTGGGAATACTGTGTCACAGATGACCAGTTTGTTGAAGGCACATAGGTTTGCCAGTCTCTCGCCGTTTCCGTTCCTTTCTCCTAGTCCATGTCGTCCATTGATGTCTTCATATTCAGGGTTGTCCATGTCAACCTTAGCATTTAGGTCTCGCATCCAAATGGCCAAGTCCTTTGTTGGGCGTTTCTCTACTATTGACTGCAGCCTCTGGTAAAATTGTTCTTTAAGGTCTCAGTTGTGATCGTTGGTAGGTGCGCGTAGCCTTGGATTACTTTCATTGTAACTACCTGTTTCTTTGTTTCGACGGATGCTTTGATGATCCTGAATCCCTGAGATTCCCATTGTATGAGTACCTTTTGTGGTTGTTTGGACGACATCACTGCAACTGGTTGTGTATGTGGATTATTTTGTTGTTCATGGCCGGAGTATAAGAGTAGCTCTCCTGAAGTTAGTCCTAGTTATCCAACCTGCGTGTAATGTGTTTCACCTATTACAAGTACCGCCAAGTTGTGTATTTTCATCTCTGCAGCAGCTTGGATGACTCTCCAGTCTCTTACGTTGTACGAACATTCCATGAACCTAAAAGAATGGTTACTGTGGTTGTCAGAATGGACATCGGCCTCGTGAGTTCCGAGGGAACCCGGTTTTCATCATGAGACGACCTAACTTTCCTGAATGAAGATCTCTCAGGGCAGAGTTAAAATGGTTTGAATTGGTTTTTCTGATTATCGTTTAATTTAGCGATTTAGTTTTCTTTGGAATGTGGTCGGTAACCCCATGCTGCACCCTCCTCGTTTATCTATTCTTGGGATTTATTGTGGTGGCTGAGTCACGTCATGAGTAGCTATGGTGCTTTCTAAGTTGGTTATGAACCATGATTGACAACGGGTGGTAAATAAGCAATTATCATCCCTAATAATGTTTGCTGGCTCTAAGGAACAACGCGCAGGTTAACAGACAGTTGTGTGTTTTACAATAAAGTGGCTGGACTTATTGGAAATATCGGAATTATGAAAAGTGTGGTCTTCCAGTTGGCACATCATTTTATGTTTTTAATTGATATGTGACTAAGTGCATGCACTTTGTTCTGCAAATTTTCCTGAGCATGACACTTTTCAAACGTAACAGGGTGCAGGAAACAGGACGTAGTGTAGCAATTTACATCGACAGTCACTACAGACTCCAATGGCCACTGAGAATACGCACGAGGTGGAAACCATCTATATCAAAACTACCATTCTTACTGATTATCACTAACGATTTTGTGGATAAGACCAACTCACCGAACATCATATACTGACAGCGCCAGAATAAGTATACGCATGACAAAGTTAAAACATTCACTAATCCCCTATGACTGTCCTCTTGAATTATCGCGAAAAGCTATCTCGGACCATTACTCACAGAGAGCTTGTATACTATGGCAACGGTTACTTTACACGGAGAGAGAACGATGTCATTATTCTAGAACTAATGAAACTTTTGTATAAGAATGGACTTCGGATTTTGAAATAATTCTTGTTGGGATACAAGAAAATAAGAAACGACCTAACAGTTGCATATAATATACAAAGTCACTTCGAAACGAATATCCTAATCACCGCACTGTAATCTACTAACGAAAACGTGCACACTGAAGAGCAAAAATCCAACCATAGCTCCGTTTTCTCGTTAGGAGTTGCTGTCTTTTAGAGTTCTCATATAGCCTAAGTGACTGTAGTTCTCTCAGCTAATAGCTTCTAAAGGAGACTTGGAAATTACATATTTCGCTTCCAATCATCGCCGTTCATCTGCCGTTCGTTACGGCTCTGTCAATTTGTGTTGTTCGAGTGATTAATTGACCGCTTTAAATCTTTGACCTTCGTCTTGTTTAACCTCTTTTCCATTAGAAGTTTCTCTTCGATTACTTTTCACATGACAATCAACAAACCTCTTATCTAGAAACGTGAAAGCCACAAGTACAGAAAACGTTATTGTCCTGAGACAAACTCGGATTACAAGATAGAAAAACCCGCAAACAACTGTTGAACTGACTAGAACTAGTGCTATAGAGTAGCCAGACCACTCACATTTGTTGTCATTTAAACCCTGAAATCGTATCAAAACAACAGCAAGCTCGTTGCAAAAACCTTAAATTTTGGGTTTATCATATATTCATATCATCCCTTCTCACTGTCTTCTGATTTTAAAATCCCTGAAGGTTTAACCAGCTAACGAATGTGAAGTGACATGATAGTTACTATTTCTAGAAGATTCACTGTTCTGGGACAAACATATTATATGAAATTCCAGATATTCCAACCCCAAACTGATTGTTAGATCACTTGTACTAGTGAAGCAAACTGGCTATAAATGATACTAGTGACCTAGAACTGTACTTTAACACTAAGAAGCGAGCTCAAGGAAGTCAACTGATTTACAATGGCTAGTAACGAAAAATTAGACATTGGACTGGGTCGTCGCGACTGAAGGTCAAGGTCCTTACGGTGAGTGTAGTCACAGGTTAGACGGTGCCTCGTTCCTTAAATCCAAATTAGCTGGAACTTCCCGGGACATTTAGAAATATATTGCAGGGTTCTGATATCCTTTCAAAACATTATACCTAAAGTGTTTATTAATTCGAATTTTATTAAACACCACTCGTCTTCGCTCTGATGTCTTCGGTATTAGAACAGCTGATGGAGATGGGCTTCACACAAGCTAAAGCGTTTGTCTGATTTTTTAACTTTGCTCATTTTGGCCTAGGGAAAAAGCCTTAAAGTTTTCTGGTAACAAAGGTTTGGAGGAGGCCATGGAGTGGTAGGTATTCTAGATTCATATAAACCAATATTTTTTAGGATTGTAGAAAATGATAGTGGTGATGAAGAGAAAGGTACCATTTAGCTAATAAGCTGTATAACTGCCTTTCACAAGGAACTTCTAACAGTACCACTGAAACTGAAAAAGCGGATTCGCCATCATCTTACAAATGTGATGAGTAGCTTTCCTACTATTTCCTAACTTTATTTTAGTTGCGAAAAGTGTCTCAGAAATGAAGATGAAGTTCAACTGCACAGTGCACGTACAGGGCACGTCAATTATTCACAGTCCCTAGATAGAGTTTCACCACTGACAGAAAATGAACGTAGGGAACAAATGGAGAAACTTCAGGTTTCTGTCTGAATTCGAATTTTTTTATATTCCAATTTAGTTGCTGTAAATGCTTTTTTTTAAGAACCAACCATCACTGTTTAGCGTGGAAATGTTGGCCATACAGGATTTAGTTCTTTACGTGGACATAATTAAGCGTAGTTCATTTATCACATGGGCGGTAAGAGTTGAGGATATTCATATGCTATTAGTATACGATTTTGGATGTTTCCGGAGGATTGCTCATGCATCCTGGGACAAACCAAGTAAGCAACTATAGTTAAGAAACGAGTACTACGTAGGGATGGCAGATCAATTGATGAAGTAGTGAAACTTCATCAGTCGAAATGGTTGGGACATGTGTTACGTATGCCCAACCACTGACTGCCTCAACGAGCTATGTTTTGTGGTGTGGGAGTAGATTGGAAGAAAGCTAGGGGCGGCCAAACCCAAACATGGCACAAATCCATGAAGTCACTGATAAGTGTACTCAGTCATGTTGGTAGATGTAGGCTACCTGGTTGGAGTCTGCGAGACAATAGTAACTGATGGTTAGAGACCTTGAACGAAATGGTTCAAAATCGTTTGCAATGGCGCAGGTGCATCCACTCTTTGTGTTCTCTCAAATTCTAATTTTCTGAACTCCTCATCACCCCTATCTCCTCTTTCTAAAGTTATCTCACTGAATTATACTTCTTGAACAATATCTTCGAACCGTAATCTTCATTTCTGCTGATACTTTTACTATCGCTACCACTATAGGATTTGAACTGGAACTTGCGTCTCTGTGCTGATTCGGCATGGCAATCTGAGCTTAAGTACGTACGTACAAAGTTCTACGTTGTAACTAATTGACTGACTGTTGTTCATTTACCACCTCTAAACTCTAATGGCTACTCGATTATCATCGTCTGCTCTGGTCCATATCTGAGTCATCGATATTTTCTCAGCCTTGGAAAATTCGACAGCAAAATGGCTAAGGAGCAGGCTTAAGGTTTGTATCTTTGTACATCAGCATGTACACACTATCACCCTTGCATTTATCAGGTAATTAGAGCATCAGAAACACGTCGGTCGTTCTATTCCCCTTGTTTTTTCGAAACAGTCTTTATCCTTAATGATGAATGGCTTTTTGTCATATATTTTTGTACTCGTTTTAACTTGTTTATGCTGCTTAGTAGTTCCTTGATGTTACTTATTATTTGTAACCATCGGTCTACTTCTCCTCATTATATCTGTCCCAGTATCGATCACTTGTTTATAGGTTCAGTAATTAATGTTTAGCTAATAGGATAGACTAAAACATCTGCCTATTTATCGTGATACAACTATTGTAGTAGGTCCGACTGTCACTAAAAATAGATCTTACAGTATTCACTCAGTAACTGACTTTTTGCCGTTTTTTATAACTATTTGCTTGTAACTTGATACTCTAATTCTTATTTAGAATGAAATAATTGTCAATAAGACATTACCTATTTATTTTTACAGTCGTAGTTCATTCTTTTTCTACTTAGTTCTATTAACTGTATGAAACTTCATCACTTGATCATACTGATGAGAACATGTAGATATTAAAATAGTTAGAAAGCCTTTTACAGAAAGTTTTTTGATCCTAATTTGGTACTTTTAATAGATAAACTAACTTTGATGATTTTACCACAAAAAAGTATCTATATAGATTTGTAACTAACTGTCAACGTGAACTCATAAGATTAGCAACAAGTAAATCATTATTGCTTTTTAGGCTAGTGAGTTCCTTACGAATGGAAATTTGCAGCAGTGTCACGCTACTGTTATACCGGTGAAACAAGTCTTTAATAGAACTCGGTTACTTGATGGAGTCAATTTTCTATCATAATTGAGTAGTCTGATATTCATATTTACTGTATTTTAAGTACATATATGTTAATAGGAACTTCTACGTGTCAAGAAGGCCCAAAGAGAAGAACAAGAGAAACATGAAGAGATTGAGCGTGAAAAGAAAAGACGTCAGCAATCCAAAACACTAAGTTCAGCCAAAGCGAAATTTGAAGAAGATGAAATACGTCGTTTAGTCGAACAAAAAAAGCGTGAAAAAGAGGAGGATCGGGCTTATAGGTAAGTATGATCTGTCAACTTCAAGAGAGCAGTATTTCAAAAGTCTTATTACTCTAGTCATGTCGTTTCGCATGTTTTTATCGAACATCGAAGCGGAGAATATGTTTTGAGAGATGTTTGTCAACGCTGTATTTGTAACTGAAGAAGAATTAGCCAAATGATTCACATTTTGCGGGAATCAAGCTGTCTGTCATCTTATTACGTGTGACAGCCTTGGCAAAGAAAGCTATTCTTAAATTAAATATGTATGCAGAGTGAAAAGGCACTGTCAGCGGCCGACGATATCAAAACTAAAGTATGTCTCTTCAGATATCCTATATATAAATTAAGCTACTGCTTGTGGATGTTAGTCTATCACTGATTTTCTTTTGCGGTTCTCGAGACAATAGTAACCGATAGTTCGAGACTGAATGACATGGCTCAAAATCGTTTGTTGTGGCGCAGATGCATCCTTTCTCTTTCTCCTCCCAATTGTAATCTTCCCGATTACTAATGGTCTTTTTTCTCTTTTTAAATTCGTTTTGCTGCATGATACTTTGCAAGTGATATCTTCGAACCCTAATCTCCATAACCGCTAACACTTCCAGTGCCCATAGTACTATGGGATTTGAATTGAAAACTCGGTTTCTGTGCTAATGTGTTACGGCAACCTGAAGTGACATATATATATATATATATATATATATATATATATATATATATATATAACGAAAACGCCACATTCGTACTACGTACAGCTCAGATTGCCATGCTGAATCAGCACAGAGACGCAAGTTCCAGTTCAAATCCTATAGTGGTAGCGATAGTAAAAGTATCAGCAGAAATGAAGATTACGGTTCGAAGATATTGTTCAAGAAGTATAATTCAGTGAGATAACTTTAGAAAGAGGAGATAGGGATGATGAGGAGTTCAGAAAATTAGAATTTGAGAGAACACAAAGAGTGGATGCACCTGCGCCATTGCAAACGATTTTGAACCATTTCGTTCAAGGTCTCTAACCATCAGTTACTATTGTCTCGCAGACTCCAACCAGGTAGCCTACATCTACCAACATGACTGAGTACACTTATCAGTGACTTCATGGATTTGTGCCATGTTTGGGTTTGGCCGCCCCTAGCTTTCTTCCAATCTACTCCCACACCACAAAACATAGCTCGTTGAAGCAGTCAGTGGTTGGGCATACGTAACACATGTCCCAACCATTTCGACTGATGAAGTTTCACTACTTCATCAATTGATCTGCCATCCCTACGTAGTACTCGTTTCTTAACTATAGCTGCTTACTTGGTTTGTCCCAGGATGCATGAGCAATCCTCCGGAAACATCCAAAATCGTATACTAATAGCATATGAATATCCTCTACTCCTACCGGCCACGTTTCGCATCCATATATTAGGATGGAGCGAATTGCTACGCAGTACACTCGTCTTTTGGTTAGCAAACGGATATCTCGCCTATGTCATCAGTGACGCAAGTTGGCAGAAGCCAGTCGAGCTTTCTGTGTCCGTGCTGAGATTTCGTCAGTCACCAGATCATCAGCACTGATGAGACTCCCGAGATAAGTGAGGCGGTCTACACACTCGACTGCTTCACTCCTCATCACTAGTTCTGGTGCGTATGCAACCCAATCTTGAAGCAACATTTTGCATTTCGAGGAGGAGAACCGCATCCCAACCATGCTTGTATTGTTGCGTAAGCTGGTCAGAAGACTCTGCATTTTGTCAGCGTCTTCACCAAATAGACCTATGTCATCGGCATATACTAAGTCAACAAACGAGTTTCCTGCTAGAAGGTTCACTCCTGAAGAGTCAGACTATGATAATGTTAACTGTCAAAGCACATCTTCAACAAAGTTAAACCGGACGCACACCATTCAGGATGACTGGAGATCATGGGTAATCGAAGTATGACTGAAGACCAGTGGAACTGCTCCCTTAAGTGTTCTGCCCATCGATCTAATCTCTTGGATTGAGAATGAATCATAAGTCCATCCTTTTTTAAGATAGTTTCGCCAACAGATGGATTTCTAATTGCCGGTTTCCTTTTGATAAGTATGAACAGTTGTCTACTGTTGCCTATTGTCGCTGCCTTTTCCATCGCTTTTGCTTTCGCTACCCACCACCGTTAAGGATCATTGTGTAGGCTTTTATGAGCATGTGTCTAAGCTGACTTTGCTCTTCATCATGTTCAGAGCCAGACGGAATGAGTTTACGAGCGTCTATTTGTTCGGTGGATGCTACTGTGATCCACGGCTTCTTCCTAGCCTTATGGTTTACCTTACTAGTAGATATCACTACTGTTTCCACAGCTTTTTGGATGTGATTCCCTAAGAGGTTTTCGTGCGGTGTCTTTCCCACGTCCAGTAAGTCGCAAACAAACACGCTCTCGCACTAGGGCATGATCTGAATCTAAACATGTGCCCCAGAACGAGCGACAGTCCTCTATCAAACTTCTCCATTGGTGGCTGATGGCGATGTGGTCTAGTTGGGTAAAAAAACGTTGAGACGACTTTGGGGGTCGCCGCGTCAAAAGATGTTTTTCTGCTAGAAATAGGCGATTATCTGAGCACACTTGTAACAGACGGTCGCCATTATCTGTTCTCTGAGCCTCGACACCATAAGATCCACCCAGATGTCTTTCATATTCACTTAGTCTACCTACTTGAGCTTTGAAGCCACCAGCCATTATAACTATGTCAGAGCGCCTAGCTTTTTGGAAGAGGTCCGAAAGCTTTTTGTAGAACTCATCTTTCACCTCGTCTGAACTGCAGTCAGTGGGGCGTAGGCAGATATGAAGAGGCAACGGCTAGTTTCCCTGTCTCTCCGAATCCTTACTGTCCTGTTTAGTCGGACAGTGCATAAGCGACTATCTACTGTGATGCAGTGTAAGAGCTAGTTCTGCCCTAGGACTCAAAGCTATACCTACACCAGCAAGACCCCGAGAAGCATCAGCATGGCTTCCAGATATACGAAGAGTGAATCTAGCTGGTTCCTTAGTTTTGAAACAATGTCCGTACATTAAAAGCTCCAACATGTTATTTAGTACGAGGTTTCAGGAGACCAGGAATGACGTTTCGTGAACTCGCATCGTTTGCATTATCGGTACGTGTCGATAAAGGGATGTGAGAAGAGTTAGTCGTTGAGTTAAGAGAGATGGTACGGGGTATATAAAGGATTTGTTTGTGTGCTGTTATGGGTATGAGGGCGGCTGTCACTTCTTGGCTGCCCACATTATGAAAGGCTGTTTTTTGAAGAATCTGAAAAGGGAGTTATATTAGTGCCGATCTTAACGACCTGGGAGCGTGACCGCACAGCCCAAGGGACAACTGCTTGAGGCTGGTCACGCACGGCCTTTTTTATGGGTAGCATTTAAAGTGTTAGCTTCGCTCTCGTTTAAAAGACCTTACCGCCGGAGACCGAAATCCGTGAGATAAAGCGAGGTGTGACATTTTTAGGGTCGACCTTTTCTAACGCCTTCCTTCCATGTGAGAAGGCAGCCTCGCTGCAGGTGCTGGTTGTCCAAGGGAAACATCTTGATGCTGCCACCCCTCTATGCAGTCAGGAGCACGATTTCACCCTCAGACCTTGAGTATCTGCTTTTAGTCTCATCGTTCTACAATCGACCTGCCTGGCATTGTAGAACGTACAGGAGCATATGTTCGAGCCAATATAGCTCAGTTGGGTCATCACGATAGGCAAGCCCGACCATCACGTCAAGGTAGCAGCTACGGTCGGTCGTAATAATTTGTTGCGAAATTTCAAAGTTTCCGATATAGTAAATTATGCTAAGGTTTTTAATTATTTTTATTATTTAAGCTGATTTAAAAAAATATAAGTGAGTCGCTCACTAAAGTCGAATAATAATCGCATTATTCAATTTTTTTATGATTGTGAATAAAATTTAACACTCCGTCTGTACAGAGAGAAATTGAGGGCTCAAATCGCTCAAGATCAAAACGAGAAGGTTAGTTGATTTAGATATTTTATCCGAATGGAATTTTATCTTTGTAATAAACTTAGATGTTTCCAAGCCAATCGATACATTTTTTTCTATACTACCAGTTCACACCATCAAAGTTTAAATACAAGGTAGTTACTTGTCTGATTAAAAGCATCACTTTTAAAGAGCTAAAGACTGAGGTAAAGTTCTTGTTCTTTCTTCCCAAGTTTTCTTTCTTACTGCAACTGGATACTTTTTCAGATGTTTATCTTTCATGTAGACCGAAACATGTTGGAATCCTTTTATGAGCTGGTACAAAATTTGTAAATCAATTATTGTATTACTTTATCATGGCTTTTCACAGGATAAGTACGGCAAAGTTCAGCTAAATAACTCAACAATGAAGAATAGCATGAAGACAAATCAGCACTGAACGTTTTTACTAACCTAAACTGCCGATAATATTTATTGCAGAGTTACATAGGTGCTTAAAGAGTTACTTTCTATGAACATGAAGTTCTACCAATTAGAATGCATTTTTAATAGAGCAACATTTCAGTACTCATTGGAAGCTTAAAAACGACTAAAAAGCGTTTTCAGAAGAATCGTTTTTTTCCACAAATTTTGGTCAAATGTTAAGGAAATAATACTTTTCTCAATTACTTTATCTACGTTCAACAAGGTTCATAGGGCTAATATACATCTATATGATTTGTTACATTATTCAGCAACTTGGGTGTAAATGTAGCCGATATTCTTAAATAGTCTCCATTTGTATATTGTACATCAATTCATCAGTTTTAAAATCTCATCAAATTGAACTTAATATCCCTGCTATAAAGTTCAAATGGAGATTATATAAGAATTTAATCACTGCGTGAAACTCATCAGAGCTTTCTTTTGGTGATGAAATTCCGGGTTAACAAACTTCTTGGTTTTGGATTAGTGCTTTCAATGGAATCTAGGATAAGTGGTCTGTTGCAATTGGAAGACATTAGCTGGATATATCTAAATCCGATTGTTAGTGTTTGTAACGATATTTCAACAGTACACATCACTTCAAACACGAATGGTTTATCCATTAGACTAAGAACTCCAGATAACTGGTATATAGTTCGTCAGGCGTGCGGTTATATTTTCTTATCGCTGATATTATAGACTAATCGGTCAAAAAAGCTTAAGTGAAGGCTCAAGATATACTAATAGAAACTAATCAGTTATAATCTTGCATATCAGGAATCGGAAATTACAGACCCTTACTAAAAGTTGGACTCATAAATATTTAACATTCTTATGATATTCATTAATTACTTTTAATGTTTAAGGCCATTTTGAGCTTGTGCAGATTTTTTTGAATATCAGGAATATTGTACTAAAGGTTATTTACTAAGCGTATAATTAATATTTGCAATCTGGTAATAAACTATTTTTTTGGCTGTTGCAAGTATACAAGCGTATCATGATGTTGATAACCACAGTAGTTTAATTGCTTGTCATGACGTATCTATATTCAACAATAACATAAACAAATCCACCTACATTATGGTGATCAAGGGATAGTTCTCTTGCATTTCTAATAGTCTGTTTTATTATCTCAAATGCAACAAAGTTCAACCATATTGGGAGTTAGGCAGTTACGCACCAAAAACAATTGATGATGGTGGCGCAATATCGTGGGTTGATTCAAGTTAGATATCAACACCGTCAAACACACGCTCAATGATCAAGGGTTAAGTGTTTGCGCTCGAGACCAAAAGTCCTGGATTCAATTCGCGCTTGCGAAGTTATGGATTCTCATTAGTAATGATTTCCATACTAGAATGAAATGGCCGTCCAGTGCTTCCAGGTTTCCAATACTGGTCTAATATTGATCAATTCATGATTTAAATGAAACTCAACAATTTCCACGACCCCATATTAACTTTTATGATTACTCTATTCACTTGGTGTGACAAATCTTTCTAGATTCTTTATTCTAACTCTTTTCTACTATTCAGTGTCTTTATTTTTATTTATTTGTTGCACTTCTTGTTGATTTCCTCACTCTATCAACTGATCGGAAGTATGATAACTTGAACCGATCCATTTTCGTACCATCTGTTTATGTTACCATCGATCACTATTCATTTGTTGGTGCATCATCAAATTATCCACCGAAAAAAAATCAAGTTGATAATTGCGACCTCCTAATAGGCATATCATAACTCACTGTTTGTATATCGTTCAAGAGTTGGCAAGTAAAAATTAGTAAGCAATAATTATTCATTGTGCCCTAATTGTAAGATATTTAAGATGAACTTATCAAGGCTATCTTGATATTTCTAATTAACATAAACTTTACTTAATCCCCTAAGTAACACTTAGGTGAGTGACGTAAAATGACCTAAAATTTCTATGTTACGTTTATGTAGCGTGCACGTGAAGCGGGTGAATTACTATCGACTGCTCCATCAAATTCAACTTCTGTACCAACTACAGTACCGGAAACAAAGTCAACAATTTGCCGTTTAAATATTCGCTTACCATCCGGTCAGTCAATCAAAGGGGAATTCGGTGTTAATGAACCTTTAAGTGCAGTTGCATTATATGTCAGTCAAAATTGGCCTGATTCTTCAACTTCCATTGATCCACAATCTATTCAATTGATGACTAGTTTTCCGAAACAAGGATTTACAATTGAAGATATGAATAAATCTCTTTTAAATTTAGGTGAGTAAAACTTTCTGTATTCACAAATAGCATATATAATATGTAGAATGACTGCTACGCAGATAGATAATGGTATTCATCTTTAGCTGTATAAGTTAGGATTAATAGTGTAAGTCAGACATTCACTCACTTATCCCTTTATTTTAACTCTTGAATATTAAGAAAGGCATTATTTTTAATGTCGAGCTAAAATATTTTTGATCTAACTATAATGTAGTTCCAAAAGTTTCATCATGAAACTGTTCTCTAACAAGCGTGTCCAATATATCATAGTACTAACTAGAATCAGAATTTGGTTACTATACCAGTGTAGACCCATCTAGGTACTTATTGGAGACTTCAGGGTACCAAGCATTTTCTTCATGCGCATTTCTAGCAGATTTCTGAATTGTCTGCAGTGCTTCTGGTCAATATCATAATGTCCAGAAGACTAAACCCCCATTCCACTGATAAGTACAGTGAACCGTCAACCGTATTCAAAGGAATTGAAATTAAAGCTGTTTACAGTTTCCAGAAATACCACCCATAAACAACAGTATTAATTTCACTCACTCGATGAATAAGGTAAAATTTATACAAGAGAAGTGACACTTAGTGATAAAACAAAGTATGGCAAAACCATTGTAGCAGCTTCATTCGAAATATTAGCCTGTCCAAGGCTGAAATATCAATAAACCTAGTGTAAGTTAAAGAATCTATGGGGTAAATGGCACATGACAAACTTCTTTTAAATGACGTAAATATTAACCGTTGATTTTGATGTTCTCATAAATTCCGTCTAGAAAGCCTAGGGTTCTCTATAGTGACCAAACCAGTGTTTAGAGTTGTATATTGATACTATGTATTAATTTTTCCATGAGTAAGCTTGTTCTTAACGAGTTTGCTTCCAATAATCTTCCATATCAACTTTACTTACCTACAGTTCTCATAAAGTGGAAGTTAGATTTCTGAAGCAAATTCGCGACAGGGATTTTTTTGTAAGGAGAGAAATTCCAGTGATCTACGATTAGCAGTCAGTGTCGAATATTTTTGTCAGTATCTAGTACATTACCGGTGGACCGATTCATCTCCGACCGAAGCTGCTACCTTGACGTGGTGGTTGGGCTTGCTTATCTTGATGACCCAACCGAGCTATATTGGCTGGAACCGTGAACAGTGGTGGGTGGAGAAAGCGAGAGAGATGGAAAAGGTAGCGGCAATAGGCAACAGTAGACAACTTTTCCGACTTATCAAAGAAACTCGTATTAGGAATCCTAGTGTAAGTGAGACTATCTCGGAAAAGGATCAATCCAGGAGACTGGATCGATGGGCAAAACACTTTAGGGATCAGTTCAATTGGCCTTCTGCCACACTTCGGTTACCCACGATCACCAGTCATCCTAAATTGCAAGTCGACGTAAGTCCCCCTAGTCTTAATGAAGTTGAAAAAGCGTTAAGAAATCTGAAGCGAGGGCGAGCAGCAGGTCCTGATAGGCTTACAGTTTTAGCAACTAGGTTGACTGAAATCTTAGGTAGAATCTGGGAACTGGACGTAATCCCATCCGACTGGTCGCAATCCCTGATTGTCCCAATTTATAAGAAAGGACAAACGTATTCTTGTGACAATCACAGGGGAATAAGTCTAACTAATATAGTTTCTAAATTGTTAGCCTCGATTATACTTAGACACCTTACTACTGCTCGTGATTAGCAGACTAGAGAAAACCAGGCTGGTTTCAGACCTGGACGTGGTTGTATAGACCACATCTTCACACTACGACTGGTCCTGGAACACAGACACACATTTAGGCGTCCTACAATAGTTGTGTTCCTGGACCTTAAGGCAGCATTCGACTCAGTGGATCTTGAGGTTCTGTGGCAGTGTTTGTCATTGAAAGGTGTACCAGAGAAGTACATTAACCTTATACAAGTTCTCTACTCGAACACCACTGGTCGAGTGAGAGCTTATGGCGAATTTTCATCGGAATTCTTTACTTCAAGTGGTGTCCGTCAGCGATGTCCACTTTCCCCATTCTTGCTTTAATTTTATCATAGACATGCTACTAGAACTAACCTTATCCTCGTTTAAATTTTCAGGAGTATACCTTTTTCCGGGAGGCTCGCTTATTGACTTAGAATATGCCGATGACATTGTCCTACTTGGTGAAGACGCTGACAAAATGCAGTCTTCTGACTACCATAAGCAACAATGCAAGCATGTTCGGGATGCGGTTTTCCCCCTCGAAATGCAAAATGTTGCTTCAAGATTGGGTTTCATCGGCACCTGAACTAGTGATAGGGAGTGAAGTAGTCGAGCGTGTTGATCACTTCACTTATCTGGGGAGTCTCATCAGTGCTGACGGTCTGGTGACTGACGAAATCTCAGCTCGGATACAGAAGGCTTGATCAGTTTTTGCCAACCTGCGTCGCTGATGTCGTCGGCGAAAAATTCGTTCTCTAATCAAAGGACTAGTGTACTGCGCAGTGGTTCGCTCCGTCTTACTTTATGGCTGTGATATATGGCCAGTGAGAGTAGAAGATATTCGTAGTTTACTGGTTTAACATCATAGGTGTCTTCGAAACATTGTTCGTATATCGTGGGACACCCGAGTTAGCAATGCTGTTATTAGGAATCGGGTACTAGGTAAGAATGGCAGACCGACAGATGAAGTGGTGAAACTTCATCAGTTGAGGTGGTTGGGACATGTGTTACGACGCATGCCTAACCACCGACTGCCTCGTCGAGCTTTGTTTTGTAGTGTAGGGGTAGGTTGGAAGAAAGTTAGGGGCGGCCGAACCAAAACATGGCAGAAATCCATGAAGTCATTGACTAGTGGACTGAGCCATGTCGGTAATTGTCGACCACCTGGTTGGGGTCCGCGAGATGATAATAATCGATGGTTAGAGACCTTGAATGACATGGCTCAAAATCGTTCGCAATGGCGCCGTTGCATTTATTCTTTGTGTTCTCTCAAATCCTAATCTTCTGGATTCTTCAACACCTCTAGTTTTGACTTTCTAAACTTTTCTCATTTAATCATACTTCTTGAATAATATCTTCTAATCCTAACCTCTCCGATTTCTTCTAATACCTTTACTACCTCTTCTACTATTGGATTTGAATTGACAATTACATCTCTGTGCTGATGTGGTATGGCGACATGAACTGATGTACTTACGTACGAAGTTCTACGTTGCAACTGACTGACTGACTCTGGTTACGGCTTCTCAGTAGAACTCCAGGAATTGTGTTACGAAGCTAGTCGCTAGCGAGTACATGATTACTATTAGTATGGTTGGAAGGTAGCGGTTTGTCGAAACTGTAATGTTCCTTTATGCCTCCTGGTTTTTAGTGGTAGTCGAATGTAGACTAGTTCGTGATTTAATACTATGGCAATATGAATATTCTAATTCTGCGTTTCAGTTGTTTTATTAATGATAACATCAAGATTTTATTCTGAAATATTGACTTAGTAATATTATTCTCTTGTTTTTTCATCATCTAGGTTTGTGCCCATCTGCAGTTATGATGGTTCGACAAATAGCTCAATAAATACAATGTCATTCTATTTCGACCATCTGTTTATACATTTATATATACACATGTATTCATAGTCACTATTGGATTGACTTATTTTGATACTTAAAAACGAAAACCATCTAGTGTGAAGTCGACATAATTGAGTATTCTCTTCTTTGTTGGATTCTCTTAATCTTTTTCGTTTTCCCATTACAATTGTCTTCATCTTTTCTCACTTTATCTTGAAAGACAGAGCTGTTACCTAATTCTTTGCCGTTCTTATCTTTTGGAATGTTTTCTTTTTTTGCATGTAAAATGGAAGGGTAACATGTGCTTCTAATGATAATTATTCAATAATAATCATTGTAATATAAATCACAATTTATTTGATATTAGATATTTGAAGACGATTAATTTAAATGTGATTTAGTGATTAAGGTATCCAACCGCGCTTCATTTACTTTGGTGTTGATGATCGTATAATATTCAGCATCTCTTGAAGTTGGTACATGAGTTTATTTGTTTTTTCTATGTTTGCTATCAGTTCCAACCCTCTATATCTCATCATGTTAACCTTCTTCTTTCTGTGCTAGTTTGATATTTGACAACTAGGATCGATACGCATGATTGACTAGGTTGTGTATTTTCTATGGACCGGGCCTTCCGTTAGTCCTAACTATCATATTGCTGAGAAGAAAGTAAACGAATTGGCTTTAAGATTATGTTGTGTGAATGTCTCCGCAACTAACAGTACTTGTTTACATAATTTAGTCATACCAATGTGAATAACTATAAGGTTCGGAACATGAGATTATTTAGTTAATATTAATTAATTTCGTGTGGATGATTTCTAATCATTTACAAAATTCAAATTTTTATACCACACAACATGGAAGTTAAATTTTCGTATATCACTTTTTACTAACTTTCGTGCACTGTAGATGATCCTTAAAAGTTTGTCTCGTGGTTTTGGCTTAAAAATTACAAGACATGCGACCAACTTGAGGAAATGCAATTTGTGGTAGCAGATGATCGACGTCCATCGTACATTGCCCGTTTAAAAAAACGATTTTACTGTTTTTGTGCATCTACTGTTTAAAAACGAACTTCTTACAACTCTCTTAAATGGGTCTTCCTCATTCACCAAGTATATGTAAGCATCTTTATCGCCCTTTGAAATTTTCGAAAATACAATCGTAGATGGGAAGTTTTATAAGATAGTATTATGTGGTCTTGAGCAGACTCATGTGCATAATTTTTGCTTCAATCACAGAATTTTTTCATTCAGGGTCTCCGTCGAATACAGATTTATTTACATCTTTCATTCATTAATATCGTATGTTGCGTTTCTGTGCGGCAAAATTAAAGAGCTTACCTCGTAACGTGCAATATGATTAGCGCACCTGATACTCAAGTCAACCTAGGTTGGTAAGTGTCAAAATAGGAGTTTACGTTCATATCGAGACTGTTATTAACCAGTGCTGTAGGCATAATGCTTATATACCCATGATTTCTGCAGCATCATTCGTTCTTATTGAGATTCGAAACCTGTTCGTCAAAAATGTTTTGATCGAATTGGAATATTTATTAAGTATATATATGTAGTTTGAGTACCTTAGGACGATTATACTCCAGGAGGTGAAAGATCTGAATCAAACCAAGTCATATTTGTCTGTGTCTTAAAACTTACCGACCAATTTTGCACCCAGTCAACCATCAAAATCCTACTTTTAATTAGTTCTTCCACTTACTCTTTAGCCTAGTATCTCTAACTTGTTCAAATACACATCTGACCAACATCACTAACCTTGACTCGGCAGCTGGGTTACTATTGGTGCACTATTCACTAGCTCCGCTCTATGCCCAGCCTTGAGTCCAGAAGTGAAAATCAACCATCATATTTGATTTAAATGCAAACATATCAGACCTCACCATATCCTAAACTGAAAAGTAACAATTATGCATATACAAGTCAAAAGTGTCTGTGGATGGGAGAGAATGTAAATGATAGACTGGTAAACAAAATGGGAACAGTAAGTAAATTGGATGGTTAAGGTTCATGGTTCAGCTGAACGGAATCGGAGGTAATCTAGTTTCTTGACAATTATATATCAAGAATGTACATAATAATAGCAACCCATAAATTGGTTCTCGGAGTTTTCCTTCATTCTTCGCTCTCATGTAACAAGCATATATGTATGAGTTTAATGGCATAATGTTTGTTCTCATTTCTTTTACTGTCACACCCAAAAAACTTGTCTAAAAATGAAACTGTGAATAAAGCCTTTTTAATTACTTCAGGATACTGTTTAGTATGTCTATAGTCTTCTGGAACGGTAGAATGTAGACGTATACCTTAAATATTACTCACATGGACTGATCAACACATATTTCTGCTGTGACAGAGCGAATATGAAGGGAAATGCAACTCTTGGAACTAATGTACGAATTATTGTCATCTTTACTTTCTTTGTATAGTTAGCAGATAGTTGTATCATTGTATTTTTATATTCTCTTTATTGCAAGCTTCCATTGAACCTATTAATTATTGTTGTATTTTTCACGTATGGCACTATTTCATGCGAAGTGTGATTTCCTTTATGGATTGCGTTTTAGTCTGATGATTCATGTAACTAAGCTACTAAGGGTTAAAGAAACGTGCCAGGTAGTTGAAAATATGATAACAGAAGCTTGGCTTCTGTCTTGTGTAAGATGCAATGCAAGGGATAGAAAGTGTTTGTATTTCCGAACCAATAAAACTTAAGCTTTCGTCACCTCAAGAAATATATCATTGGTTAAAGCTGTAGGTGGAATAGAAAACACTGGAGAAATTATTTGAATTCTGATTGGTGAACCTTGCAAATGATAACTGAACATTTTAAATAATTATATTTCTAGACAAATGAAGTATAATGATAAGTTAACTGAAAAATATTAAAATGTACTGAATTTCATTGTTATGTAATAGTAAACAAGTACATCGAAGAGTATGTGCTGAATGAGTAGCATACCATCATTTTTTTAAAATTAAGTTAATTGGTTTACATTCTAAATTGTAGAGCAGATCCTAGTAAAACAAATATCAATAAAATCGTATAAGCATTCACTTAAATTGGAATAAATTTGGTTTTAACTTCTGACTTCTTGTAATAGAATTGTGTACTGTGTTGAATTGACAACTTAATCTCCATGAAAACGGATTGTTGAACTATACAAATCCATATAAACGTTTAATCAATTACTTCTTAAATATTGTTATATAAAAAGTCTTATAGATGAATGCTTTAGATTCTGATAAAACGATAGTATATTTGACAAAAAGCCTTTTTAAAAATTTAACTATAGAAAATATCTCGCAACTTATCTTAGTTTTTTCAGAAGCAATCAATCACAACTAAGGTAAGAGAATACGATTCGATTATTTTTGACAAATAAGTATTTCAAATAAATAACTATCGAATGTTTTAGGAAATATTTTTGGCATATTTACAAAATGAATGATTATTTTTCTTTCTTTTGGAAATTTTTGAAAAGTCTATCCTTTTTTTTAATGTGTGTAGATAGATATTGTGCACATTTGACATTATTTAATAAATCTTCAATGAAATAATGATGAATGCAATTTATAGTTTATCAAAATATGAATGAATTCATTTGATTTTTTTAGCAGTGTTTATTATTTTATTTGAACTATTATTTATCCATACCTTCAAGTGATAGTATATAAATATCGCTTAGTTTATTTAAAAAAATAATAGTGATTTCCTTTCAACCGTTATTGTTTTCACATTGTAAATGCTCAACAGTGAAATGAACCTGAAACAATGATTCTGATATTTTTTTGGTTTAATATCAGTGGTGAGAACTCAATGAATTCCTTATTCCTTTGATGGTATTCATATCAACTACTTTAATAAGAATAAGTAGTTCAGTGTAGTTAGTTTAAATAACTGTAACTTCAAAAGCAAACATGAGACAATTGTACGAGACAACGAAGAAGCTCGCCGGAAACTATCGTAAACCAGAACGACCAGTGAAAAGCAAGGAAGGGAAAATCATCAGCAACACTGACGAACAGCGAAATAGGTGGGTAGAGCACTTTAAGGAACTCTTGAATCGACCAGCTCCACTGAACCCACCCAACATCGAAGCAGCATCTACGGACCTCCCAATTAATATTGGCGCACCTACGATTGAGGAGATCAGTATAGCCATCAGACAAATCAAGAGCGGCAAAGCAGCAGGACCAGACAACATTCCAGCAGAGGCAATGAAAGCAGATGTAGAAGCAACTGCAAAAATATTTCACATCCTCTTCAAGAAGATTTGGGATGAGGAACAAGTACCATCAGACTGGAAAGAAGGATACCTGATCAAAATACCAAAGAAAGGCGATCTCAGCAAGTGTGAGAACTACAGAGGCATCACTCTTCTTTCAATACCAGGCAAAGTCTTCAACCGGGGTATTGTTAAACAGAATGAAGGACTTCGTAGACGCCCAACTTCGAGATCAACAGGCCGGATTTCGTAAGGATCAATCGTGTACTGACCAAATTGCTACATTACGGATCATTGTGGAACAATCGATTGAATGGAACTCACCACTATACATCAACTTCATCGGCTACGATAAAGCATTCGATAGCGTGGACAGGGAGACACTGTGGATTCTTCTTCGACACTACGGTGTGCCTGAGAAAATAGTTAACATCATACGGAATTCTTATGATGGATTCAACTGCAAAATCGTGCACGGAGGTCAGCTAACCGACTCTTTTGAGGTGAAGACCGGTGTCAGGCAAGGTTGCTTACTCTCACCCTTTCTCTTTCTCCTGGTCATCGACTGGATTATGAAAACGTCAACATCTGGAGGGAAGCACGGTATCAACTGGACAGTTAGGACGCAGCTGGACGATCTGGACTTCGCAGATGACCTGGCTCTTCTATCTCACACGCAACAACAAATGCAAGAGAAGACGACCAGTGTAGCAGCAGCCTCTGCAGCAGTAGGTCTCAACATACATAAAGGAAAAAGCAAAATTCTCCGATGCAACACAACATGCACCAACCAAATCACGCTTGATGGAGATGCTTTCGAGGACGTTAACAACTTTACATATCTTGGCAGCATCATCGACGAGAAAGGTGGATCCGATGCAGATGTGAGGGCGCGGATTGGCAAAGCGAGGGTTGCATTTCTACAGTTGAAAAATATCTGGAACTCCAAACAACTTTCAAACAAAACCAAAATAAGGATTTTCAATACAAATGTGAAGACAGTTCTACTGTATGGAGCGGAAACATGGAGAACTACCAAAGCCATCATCCAGACGATACAAGTGTTTATTAACAGTTGTCTACGCAAAATACTTCGGATTCGTTGGCCAGACACCATCAGCAACAACGAACTGTGGGAGAGAACAAGTCAGATTCCAGTGGAGGAGGAAATCAGGAAGAAGCGGTGGAAGTGGATAGGACACACACTACGAAAAGCACATAACTGCGTCACGAAACAAGCCCTCACATGGAACCCTCAAGGCAAAAGGAATAGAGGAAGGCCAAGGAACACACTACGCCGAGAAATAGAGAAAGATATGAGAGGAATGAACAAACATTGGACAGAATTGGAGAGGGAAGCCCAGGACAGAGTTGGTTGGAGAAAAATGGTGAGCGGCCTATGCTCCATTGGGGGTAACAGGCTTAAGTAAGTAAGTAAGTAAGTAACTTCAAAAGCCATCAGTAATTATTAAGAAGACAAATGTTATATTGTAAAACTATATCTAATACAAAAAGTTATCACATAAATTATTTCATTCGCAAATTACTCTGAAATGCAAATGATTCTCAGTTCATTTATAAATCTACTCTGTTCAGTGTTAATTATCATAATTTTCATTCCCAAATTTTTTTTACACTTCTATCTATATATCCACTACGGAGATTTTTATTCGTTTCTATGACAGTTTTGATGAAGAGATTATGATTGCAGTAAAGTTGGCGCAACTGATTATATCAATAATGATGCAATTGCGTAATTATAAATAACAAATTAAGATTTTGACTTCTTTTTTATCGATTTTGTCACACCTATACGACGTCCTATTCTTTTCAGTTTTGCAGTAACTTCTTCTTCCATCAAATTGAAACACATTGCAAATAAAGACAAACCAAGAGCTACATACACTGCTAAAGCAATCATCTTTTCTTTTGGATTTTGTGAATCAATTTTTGTCCCTGGAAAAATGATAGAATTGAAAGCAATTACAAATGTTATGAGAGATAAATGAAGTAGATAAATAATCAAAATGAAATCAGAAAGAAAATCAACACTAGATGATTCTGATATTATTACCTCAGGATTACCGCCATTGAAATGTAGACATAATCTGCACTTGAGTCTCATATCAAATAAAAAGTAATATAAATATTCTACTACTAAGAGAGTTAGATCATAGGTGTCTTCGAAGCATTGCTCGTATACCGTGGGACAACCGAGTAAGCAATGCTGTCGTTAGGAAACGAGTACTAGGCAAGGATGGCAGATCGATCGATGAAGTAGTGAAACTTCATCAGTTGAGGTGGTTGGGACATGTGTTGCGTATGCCGAACCACCGACTGCCTAGACGAGCTTTGTTTTGTAGTGTAGGAATAGGTTGGAAGAAAGCTAGGGGCGGACAAACCAAAACATGGCACAAATCTATGAAGTCATTGACGAGTGGACTGAGCCATGTCGGTAATTGTCGACCACCTGGTTGGGGTCCGCGAGATGATAGTCACCGATGGTTAGAGACCTTGAATGACATGGCTCAAAATCGTTCGCAATGGCGCCGGTGCATTTATTCTTTGTGTTCTCTCAAATCCTAATCTTCTGGATTCTTCGACACCTCTAGTTTCGACTTTCTGAACTTTTCTCATTTAATCATACTTCTTGAATAATATCTTCTAATCCTAACCTCTCCGATTTCTTCTAATACCTTTACTACCTCTTCTACTATTGGATTTGAATCGACTATTATATCTCTGTGCTGATGTGGTATGGCAACATGAACTTATGTACTAACGTACGAAGTTCTACGTTGCATCTGACTGACTGACTGACTGAAGAGAGTTAGATGAATTCGATATCATTTAATTAGGTTTCTATGGAGATCATCCTAAATTGATCGGATTATGACTACATCCACTGACGAAATATTGAAAATAGGGAATTATTGAATGGTTGGTCAGCATTAGTTTCAGAAGCTGAAGGTATCAAGTTTAGTGATGAGTATAACTCTTGCCAAACAAAATGTTGTCTTGTAAAGGTGTACCGTTTTGTTTACTGATCAAAACGTATCGTTTAATGCCGATGAATTTCACACTAGCCAAAATTCTTATATTAAAGTAGGAAATTTCTAAATCTTTCGAAAGCATGTTTGATATCCACAGTAAAATAACATGAACAGAATCTGATATTCAACTCTTTCTTTTAACCAATTACATTGTTACTTTATTTCGACTTTTTTCTAGATCATTAATGTTATTTTAACTAACTGAGCTTCACTTATTTTATTCTTACTTGTTACTAGCGTTTTTTATTCATTGCGTAACCATTTGTTTCTTCTCATTTAGATTTCGTTATTACCAATGATATAGAATGTTCTTCTGTTTAACGCATATATTCACGATCTTTTATTCAGTCTATTAAAACCATTTGTATCTCTACTATACTGTACTGATGTATGATCATAGCAACTTCCAACTAAAATCTTTCATATGAGTAATCTAAATTCAGTTTGTAATTATGATTTTAAATATTACAGATTGTAACCGGCTGATGAAGACAAAACCAAGTAAAATAAATTCATCTTATTCTTCTAACCCAATCTTTGTTCTTACTCTCTTCAAGATGATAAACGGAAATATGTGTGTGAAATAACAGAGTTGCTGATTTTTTAATATCTGTGCATAATAAACATGAAGGGGTCTGTTTTAGCTCTCAATTGCAATGCAGGGTAACAGAGGATCGGTTCCGTGGTCGACGGTAAGCTACTTTAAGATTTTAAGCATGGTTTACTAAAAGGTATCAACCACTACGAAAACGTGGTTTATAAGCTTCAGCTATTGAAGTGTACAACATGTATCTAGTCACTTACCCAAGTAGCTGAATTGCAAATCTGATCTAATCAGCCATAAAAACTAGAAAACAATACATTTACTAATATCTTGTTATTTATTAGTGTAGTGTTTCATCTGATTAACAGTCCCGTTGACTATCCATCAACCTTAATCTAATATGTTTATTTTGAGAATTAAATGGAAACATTGAGTTATTTAGTGATGCATAAATTTAGAGTCTGTCACTTACTGATGACTAACTATTCTGAAGAGTTATTTACTATGTGATTCTTATTAGCATCAGTTTCTCATGAAATTTCAACAATTCTGTTCATTGCTCAATAATGTGATGAGCTCAGAAAGCTTATTTCAACCAAATACAGGTGGTCCAGAGGTTATGCGTTCGCGCACAATACCGAAGGTCCCGGGTTCGAATCCTGCGAGACGCAGGAGTCGCGGATGAGCACTGCTGATGCGTCCCATACCAGGACGAAACGGCCGTCCAGTGCTTCCAGGCTTCTTATGGTGGTCTAACAATGTTTGATCGATAATTTCAGATGTGAAAAACCACTAATCTCCATAACTCCAATTGAAAATACCAAATAACCGAAATAACTGCAACTGTATAATCTATTCCAACAGTGTTATTGATTTGATGGTGTGGCGGTAAAACAATTTCAAAAAATCATTTGCTCATAATTTGGCTGATGTTGAACACTGGAAACTGATTGCTTTGTCTCAACAAAATGACTGATAATTAACGTTGGAAGAATTGTTTTATTATTAATATTCTCAACATTCTAAGTCATTGTGCTTTTTCAAGAATCACTTTATATCACATGGATTGGCAGATGTTTTCAAATCGTTATCCATCTTCAGACTGGTGGCTAATCAATTTAAGGTTATTATCTAGACATTTGATTAGTGGAAAGTTTTCTAGAAAATCACCGTAGAAAGTATGATTTGTGGAATCAACTTTTTTATAAGTTCTCTAATTGTCATATAGGATATTGACTTTCTTCGAGTCATATTACAAGCCAAATGACGGTGAAAAAATGAAGTGGTATGTTGTAACTTAGTGGATTCATGCACAGGTATTCAGTATGAAATCTATAATTCCTGGTCATTGTCTAGTGTGAAATTGTGAATATTTGCTTTCAGGATGTTTGTAATTAGACCAATCAGTCATAATCTACATACAGACTCGTACAAATGCTTAGCAGCACAAGGTGCTGCACAATCCGGCGAAATTAACAAACCCAATGACAAGAGGATTAAAATAATCAAAGAATCAGTAGTGGTTACAAAAAGTAAGCATTTGCAAGTCCGGTTCAAAAAGTTAGGAATCGAAATAATATGCAGTATCAGCTAATATTAAGGCTCTGATCCGCTGTGACCGATTCTCAGTCATATCATTCAGAATCTCTAACAGCAGATCATGGTTGTCACCCACAGGAATATAATGAGCATCTTGTATTTTGGGAATTTCTCTATAAACGTGATCAAATGTAACGATGTGATAAATAGAAAGGTACTGCAGTTCTATTTTACCGCTATGATATGGCAAAAGATCCGCAACAAGTCTTAAAACTAAAAATATTTAAAGTATTCTGTAAAGCAATGAATGCTCTTCAAAATACTTTATTTCGAATAAAAGAAAGATTCGCTTTACTTCTAAAATGCATAGTGAAATGACAGGGAAGATTTGATGTTAGGTTTTCAAATGCTATCGTTTTAGACACCACTGTCAGTGCTTACTTAACGAAGAATTGGGCATCTTAGTTTATCTATGAGTCTAGTGGCCTTAATTGTGATTAGTTCTACTTATTGGTTTACTTTTCTTCATTTGTCCATGTATTTTATTCAATTGTTTTATTCCATTAGACTTCAGTAGGTTTGTAATTGACCTATCTCGATCGATTTGATAAATGAGATCGAATTCGATGTGTCTGTGAATTCCTGGGTGATTTAAGTGTCACTTTCTCAGAAATTCCTTGATATTTTTAGAATCTCTTAGATCTTAAATTTTAACGTTTCCCTAGTCTGGTTCACGTCCGTACGTATATCGCTTATCGTGCAGTTTCGTCAAAACCTGGTATTCGTGTTTGAGTAATTTAATAGATCATCCCCATTATTTAAGTTAGTGTTTTTTGTAGTTGCTACAGCATACTTTGTATAAGATACTGTATTCATCTTCCTTTGGTAATTGTGTAATTAGGGTCATGTTAAATAGACTGGAGTAAGTTCGCTGTTTCGCGGGCTATTTTGATTACAAAGGGTTTTAAAATTCTTGTAGTGATTTCTGAAAAGTTTTTCACAAAGATTATATAAGACACTTCAAATAATGACGTTACTTAAAGGAAATAATGTTTTGCAAAAATCTGGCTTATAAAAATGGAATCTTCCTCTGATTTATAAACTAGATTTAGACTTTTTATCATAAACTTTGTTACAGAAGAGATGAAATTTCATGATCCTTGATAAACTTATCAATCTACATGTTCTATATCAAATGAATCCCGTGATTTTAATTTGAAAACCAGAAGAAAAGAGAAATGAGTAATGAGATTTCTAGAAAAAAATTCCAAATGTAGACATTTTATTGAATTTCAAAACTAGAATACTACTAGTAACCTTATCCATAGTTAACTACCGATCATTATTTCTGAGTAGATTCTTTTTTTAAATAAAAGACTTCTGGTTGTCGGTGTATCAGTATAATAAATACTAAGGTTATTTTGTTCTCTCAAGTAATAATTTAATATTTCATTTAACTTGTTTTGCCAAAATGTCAAAGACATTCATCAAGTAAAAGATTGAATCATCGTATAAATATTTTATAAAATATTGTTACTTGATTAATATGACTAAACAGTACTCAGTTAACTGTACCATAAGATTAAATTCGAACATTGTTGTTTTAATGTGATACATATAACTTACGTACCGATTGAAACACAAAATAAGTACAACATATTCACGAATATAAACCTCTTCAATTCTGAATATACGAAGGGATTAATAGTCATTGTGATAAGAATCATCAGAAAACTGACTGATTTTAGGAACAAAAAACATACAGGAAGCAAATGTACTTGAAAAAATTCAGTACAATCAGTCATATGTTATTTGTTCAA